TCTTTTTTTTTACATTGCTCTCTTTAAAAAAAATAGTTTGTTTTATATGCAGAGATTAAGTACGTTATATTAATTAAAACGTTTTTGGGGCCTCACCACGTCGATATAGTCAATGTTGCCACGTCCGATCATGTTTTGTCCAACGACTGAGAGTCTTAACACTAACCCTGCAGCGTAGTTTCTGTTTCAATATGCTATGTAGTAAGGCTATCATGTCCCAATCACACAAATTCTCCCTGTTTATTTCCATAGTCCATCTAATGTACGTAGTTTACAATCACACAGAAATACATAGGTGCTGCGTCCGGCAACTTGACCGATATTTCTTTATATGGAATACTCATTTTATTCTCCAGCAGCTGGAAGTATACGACGGTTGAACGAATATCTCGTGAAAGCAATTTATGTACACGTGATTTGTGTCGCTTTTCCAGATGGAGACTCTTCTTGATTATGTTGCGTACTGTTGCCTGGGTCACGTGGATGACCTTTATGTTCGTGGATTCTCATCTGTTACAAGATGCTGCACTTTGATTACTACAGTTGGATGGGCCCTGGTAGACTAAATTCATTCGTATTACTTTATTTTCCAATGCCATTAAATACAAGGGATACCACCGTCTTAGAAAATTGAATACATCTTTTTGGTTTGAGTGTATAATATTTTGCAGCGGAAAGGACAGTTATATACCCTTCCCAAAAGGGAAAAATCTTCGATGGCATCACATAACTTAACAATGTTAAAATATAGTTCTGATACATTCTCTTCCAACGCGGCTGTGGTTGTCACGTGACTTGCATATTATAATCTTTTCGTATAAGGTACTTAATCATTTGTTTAAGTTCTGATAATATTAATAATGCAATAGATATAAACCAACCTTTCATATCTTACTTTATATGTATTTCCCAAATGGTATATATATTATTTACAAAACTGCTTTCTATTTGTAAATAAATACGGAATGTTTTCTAAATTGGATATATTTTTTTCTATAGTTCATTTCACTGAAATTATTATCTCTCAAAATATTGCTATGTGTTATACATATATTTCACAATCCTTAATCATCATCAGATATAATGGTACAGGCCCAATCAGATTGCCAATGAAATCTTCAGTTTTACAGAAATTCATTGTCATACAAGTCAAAATATTTCAACAGTATTTTTGTTTTACATTTCAACAGTTTTCATGAAAATTTGATTTCTTGTTATGCTTAGAACTTTGCAAAATCTTTAGTTTATATTATTTTGTGAATCTTGAATTTTAATATTGGTCCCTTGTTACTCTCAAATTGCTACATTTTAAAATAAATATTAAAATATTTTAATGCTTTTTAAAATTATATACGATTGATTGAACATTTCTCTTTCGCAAGAATCCATTATTATAATAAATTATCATCAAGTGTCTTGTACTATCATACATGCAATTTATTCCAAAAATGCGTTAGTTTCAGAATGTTCCCAAAGTTACAGCTGTCCCTAATTTTGCTTTGATAGACTAGGTGGAAAACATCTAGTTAACAGCACCAACTTTAACTACTCATTTTTAGCCAAATGGTGGGATTTGACCTCCACTCTTTTAGCATATCAACGGCCTCAAAGTGTAGCGTGTTATTTTCGGCAACCCTAGGATTCATAGTCAAAGCACACTAACCACGAGACAACAAGGATCGCATAATATTAGGAGAAAGTAAGAGTTTTGAGAGAATATAAATAACCCATCTATGTTTAACAAAGAAAACAAACAAACTTGAACCCATTTATGTTTAGACACACAAAACTTTTATTATTTGTATAGTAAGAATGTAATTTATCTTGTTTGTTTGTAATTAAGCACAAAGCTGCACAATGGGCTATCTGTGCTCTGTCAAATACGGGCATTGAAACCCGGTTTCTAGTGCGCAGACATGCCGCTGTAATTTATCTCAAAAAAGAAAATGTTACTAGTCGGCGCTTTTAGCTCATAATCCTGATTTGTTTCCTATTTAGAAATGTGAGCAAATAGATATATATATATATTCTAACTGCCAATAACATTTTATTGTATACAGTTACAAGCTGCATTTTTAACTGCTAAAGTAAAGAAAGAAGAAAACGATATAGCAATTTTCAGTGTTAACAGAGAACATGCAAGCTTGATGTTTATACATTACTCTTCAAATTAATTTTAAGTCACTCACCCATTGAAAGTTCTACAAACGTAATTAACTTTTTTTCCAGCTATCCTTTTAAAATATCCCATTCTGTGCCAACTTGTATACTTATTTAAATCGATAATATGAAAAACACCCAAACGTTAATTTAGCCATAATGCAAAACCCAATAGTACGTCATTTAAATACCTATAAAACGATAAAATTAGTTTTTGAGCCGAAAAGCAAAATCCTTTCATTACTTATTTAATGGAAATTTCGTATACGAAAAACTGGACCACCTTGTTTGGCATTATAATTATTCATAGTTGTTCAAATTGATTTTACCCCACACAAACAGTTTAAATTACTTTTCGTTCTCTCTGACCTTGTGTCTATGCTTGTTACGATGTTACACGTGTTTATCGTTTTCAGAATAGCAATTGACACTTGTAAACAACCAATTTCTCATTTTTTATGTCCCAACTTGACAATATTCAATAGAATCAAATGTTTAGTAAAGTAAGTGAATAAATTAGTTGGGCATGAACAGTTAAACAATAAAAATAACAATGCACGTTAAGGTAACTAAAAAAAGACTTTCTGGCATTATTTAGTGTTCGCCATCTTCTAGTTAATTTTGAAAGTATGTGTAACAAATGTTACGTTATAGGTGTTGTCATGATTGTTTTTAGTTTGTTTTGAATTTAGCGCAAAGTCACGTAAGGGCTATCTGCGCTAGCCGTCCCTAATTTAGCAGTGAAAAGACTAGAGAGAGAACGCAGCTAGTCATCACCACCCACCGCCAACTCTTGGGCTACTCTTTTACCAACGAATAGTGGGATTGACTGTCACATTACAACGCCTCCGCGGCTGAAACGGTAAGCATGTTTGGTGGGAGGGGGATTCGAACCCGCATATTGCGAGTCGAGCGCCCTAACCACCTGGCCATGCCAGGCGCGTTAAGAAGAACTAATAATGCATTTATTCGTAAGAGTTGTTTGAATAATAAATATTACAGACATGATTTAATCAATGGTGAATTATATAAATACAAAAAAAAAAAAATAATTTATAAAATATGTAAAGGAATGCTCACAGAAATCAAGACATTTCCACCATTCTTTATACTTTATTACAAATGTTAGCGTAAGATGACAAAAAAAAAGCGACATGGTGACTGGAGTTACAAGAAAAATTTAATTTGGAAAACTAGCTTTAATCATTTTTAAAGGTCGAACATCTTAACGTACTTTCTAACAGTCAAGTTTTATTTTCTATTTTATGCCATTAAAATTTTGTATTGTACTCGTGAAGACAATTACTCTTTTAAATGACTTTAGTTCGGCCAATGCTTGTAACAATACTAGGACTGTGTTCGAAAGTTCGTTCGCTGACCAGGGATTTGAAGATAGTAGCTAAACATTCGAAGGTTTGTCAGGCTGCACTCAAGCATTTTTCTACTCTCTTTCGTTAACACAAACGGTTTGATTAACGCTTTGAACTGTAACCACACATTCAATGTCACACACACAAAATGAAATATTTTGATTATAATGCCCATTACTTAAACAAAAGTTTTACAAAACAAAGCACACACGCCACCAACTTTGCAACTCCTTCCATGTATTGGAGCAAACTATTCTAGCGAAGTACAGGGTGGTACGTTTATAGGTTGTATTGCCCCAGTGGAATATCCAGTGTGCAAGATGTATTATGGTAGAATATACATGAAATATACGCTAACACTAATAATTATAATGTTGAAGAAAGAACACCAGTTTATCTCTACGTTCCCTCCCCCACAAGTATGCTTACGACTCAACAATGTTGTTTAAAAAACGTGACTGATAATACAATACACTATTTTGTAACCTTGTTACAGTTGAAGGTCCATATTTATTTTATAATCGAACTGTTAGTGTTATTCTTTTCTGTTGTTTATTTATTATTACGTTTATCAGGTATGTTTGATTAATCCATTACTTTGTGTTAAAAAAGACAATGACTATTAAACAAAAATTTGCTTTGCTTAAAACTTAACTGGCCGCAACTGAGCACTCTTGCAATGCAAGCTTAACGTATGTAGCTATAGGGTACGCACGTAGCGACAAATACGTGTACATAAACAACGTGCATCTTTTTTACACAAAAAATATGATTACTCTTCTATATAACGTATCTTTAACCTACATGAGAATGTTTCATTTCATTTATATATATTACCTGTAAAATAAAAGCTTTTTCAATCAAATAGAAATTAGTAGTTATGGTGTGGTCATCAGTTAATCACGAAAATTACTACTATGGAAGTTTCGAACCTTCAAAGGTCGTAACCTATCATTCGTTACAGCCAGAACTAATACCAGACTTCGAGTAAATGTAGATCCAAATGGTATTCGACATGTACTTACGTTTTTAACAAGTACAAACACAGAACTTTCTAAACTCAATCGAGAACTTGTCATTTACCACCAAATAGCTCTGAATAAAATATTCATTAGCAATTACCTCGTATTTGACTTATGTTTTTTAACAATAGAATTTCAACATATTTCAGTTTTTATTTGAACTGTAAGGTGTAATTTGATAAATATAATTTTGTATTTACGAATTTCAATATATTTTCTTACCAACAGAATTCTGAATTTTATGAGCATTGGTTTTCTTCATCGCCTAAAAATACTTGTTTTAAATTTATAAGTTAGCTTTAAAATTTACGTCTACCATACGTTTAACAAGTCCTTTAACACCGAAAATAGAAGTTAATGTCAATATACATGTACCTTCTAACCGTCCACCATTAAATAGGTTGTAAAATAAAAAATTATGATCAGAGAACTATAAGCTTGCTGCTTGTAAAGGTTCAAGTACTAGATATAATTTATTTATTTTTTAACGTAAAATAAAAGAGACAAACAAATGTGTTTACACACGTGAGCTTTACTGTTTTTGTGAAGTACTACTCACAATTTCCACCGTATTCATCAGTGTACTCATATATGATGAAAGCTTCTCAGTATATTTAATATATATATATATAAAAAGCAAATTAGAATATGTACAAAAGTACCTCCTTAATTCAAATAAATAATACATATATATATAACTACTCTATGGTTGCATTATCGGAGAACTCTAAGAACAATAAAAGAATTTAAAAATTCATTATTGTTTTATAAATACTTATGACTTAGTATAGCAATCCAAGTACCAGACTAATGTCAACCTCTACAAATTAAAATACCAGCTGTAAGACTAGGAAGTTAAGATCAGTAGTTGGCAGTACCTAGTACCCTAGACAGTTTTTTTAATGTATTTTAATATCACATATAAGCTACTGGGACACAGGATGGTTTTCTAAACTTTCTATACTACAGTTATTGTTTGGACTTACAGTGATTCTACCAACTAGAAAAGGTGGAACTGGAAACCAGACAATATTCTGAGTGCAATGTTTAAATATTGGTGTGCACAATAGGTATGTGAACTTTAAATGGCTATAACCAAATTATTTTTACATGCAATTGGGACCAAAAAGTAAAGGCTTTTGAATGTTAGTTGGCTACCCGAAATAACTCCATTAAAGTTGTAATAGCTAAATGCAAACATTTTAAAACCTCAAGTCTTTTGGTGGTACACCATTTTTAATAATTACATCTAACTAATAGGGTAATAATATCTTAAGGAGTAAGATACTGACTGTTATCCTGAAGTTTTTCACAGATAACTGTAGTAGGAAGAGCTGACTGTGAAGGTATTATAATCTTTAGAATTAAGGTGTTGACAGTCACTTCCACACTTTTCATAAACGACTTTACTCACAATGACAGGAACTTAGTGTATAGCTTTCAATAACGTGCAAATTGAAATGGTGATGATAGTGGCAAAATTTGTTTGAGATGTCTTCCACTTGCAGTACGAAAAACTAGCTAAGAAGTGGTTAATGCCCAAGAATTAAAATTTAACAAACCATCTTCAAAATCTTTCAAAGAAAATTCTGTTTGAATTAAATACACCAAATTAATAGATATTTTAACTGGCATTACTTAAAATCTAAAACTCTCAACATAACTAGCTTTTGTAACCTACTATTCATCATCAACAGCCTGTTGCAAAGATACTGATTCTGAACAGTGTCAGTTTGTCTTAAGGTACTTATGTTCTAAGGCATAAATCATCTTAGTACACATGTTTATTGCAAACATAGTTCAGAGGTGATTTGCTTCAATAGTACTTTTTAAAACAAAACCATTTTCTGTCAGTAGCGTTAAGTACAAATACAGAACTAGGACTGATTCTTGTGGTGTGGCGTGATTGTACCGCAAAAACGATCTTCTTCAAGAGATGAAAGTTGATATAAAGTTTTAATATGATAGCCTAGAGCTAATGTTTTAATTAAATTGTAAACTAAAGGAATAACTTTTCTACCAGTTAACTTTAATCACTCCAAAAAGATGGAGAGTTAAGGCTTGTAAACATATCTAGTGGTATGGTTCCTGGATGTGGTGCACTTGTAATACAATCTAGTATAAATGTTTCAAACTAATTTGTAGTGATTTTAACTCAAAACATGCTTTATGGAGAGCACATTGATATATAATAATTTTGGTAAGATTAGGTACCATGACATACCTATGTTAAATCTCCATAGCTAAGCATGTTACCAAGTTAGATAAATAGGTCATTAAATCTTACCACTACCTGTTCTACATTTCTCACTAATCCATTAACTACCTAAGTCTTTTAAAGTAGCTCTGAAAATACTACACCACACAAACACATATAAAGCTTTAAAACTGGACCACTAGATTATGTAAATTTGACTGATCTACTTCAGTTAAACATTGTTTTTAAGGCTGAGGTTTTTCCCATGCAATATTATCCTAAATCTCCTAAAATAATACATTTCACAGTTAGGACAATCTAACGCACATGAAGGTCACAGTCTTTTTTTTTTCCCAGTAAGAAAAACCACCCTTTCAGAAGGGTAAGTTTTGTTTTGTGCTTTTATTTTAAAAGCAACATTCTTTCTTCAGAGGTTCACGAAAACGAATTTTTTGACCTAGAAAATTATCTTGACATCTTTTTCCACCTTTGGAACACATCTAACTGATAACAGTAAAAAGAGAGGCTAAAAAAAAAGAAGACATTCTTGCATAAAATGTTGTAAACAGTTTCTTAGATATAGAGGCAATCAACCGTCCTCCAGCACCCAAATTACATTTCTTTTACTGTCATAGTTATTGTGTTCACAATGGTAAACATGGTCAATCTATCTAACCACTAGGAAGAAAGAGTAAAAAAAAACTGAGTTATGAAAAATTGAAGACATGATTCAGGTCAAAGTTTCTTCGATTAACACTGATCAAAGAGTTAAATGCCACTTTTTAATGTGTACTGCATGAAATCTTGTGAAGTGGTAACCCAACAATTAAGAGATCCTATGTTCTTTAAGGCTAAAACAGGAATTTAGAACACAGGCTTTAGCTCTGAGACTCATAGCTTGAGTGCAGAAAGTCTCTGTCATCTAGGATCCACTGCTGATCTCCAGGACTTGAGGAAGAATTGAAATTAGAGCCACGGGAAAGATGAGGACTAGAAGATGAATCACCCAGTATCTGTAATATCATACAGAAATATATAACAGGGTTGGGGAAATGATTACTTAACATGAAAAAGTTGTTACTTGGTTACTAGAAGCCATGAAGTGACATTAAATTCAACTCATTGTAATTATTTCTGTCATATTTCTTGAAATTTTATTATAGTTTCAATTTTTATTTGCATTTTATTACATACACCAAGTACTGTTTGAAAGTCTTATCCTGCTTAAACGTAAATTGCAGAATTTATTTAGTGGAATTAAGCATGCATACACAGAGGCCATAGGGAATGTATTTCCAGAGTTTTCATATTTTTCCACCTGGTGGCTCTACTTAAGCTATGTGATGTTACCTGTATGTAAGTACAAGAGCTGTCAGTTTGTCTGCAGGTATGCCTGTCAATTACGTTTCTATCCAAGAATGTTTGTCGAGATCCATGTAGCTCAAAGGCCTAGCTTAACCTCATCAAGAAATTTGAGAAGACAGGATTTGTGGCTGATACATCACGATAAGGATGTTCCACTTCACCTGTGAAAGTTATTGCATAAATTCGTGTAATGTCATCAGGTATTAGACAAAGCAGTCCCCAAGAAGAATGTAGTACCCACCAAGTTGCCAGGCCTACTGGCCAATCCCAGAAAACTATGTGGAAGGTAATGCATGAGACACTTAACCTGTTTTCTTACAAGACTGGAAGATTGCAGTAACCATTTCCTGCCAACTCAAAGAAGGAGTTGAACTCTGCTTTAAAATTCATTATTCTTTCCAATGGATGGTAATTGACTTAACAACATTTTGTGGACTAATGAAGCCCACTTCCACCTCTACAGTTATCTAAACGCCTGCAACTGCATTATTTCGGGTCAAACCAATTCACATGCATTCATTGAAAGACCTCTTAATGACCACCTGGGTTGGCTTTACTAGCAGTGTCATGACGTTATCATCACAGCTTATTTTGTAGGAGCCTACATAACATGGTGTACATAGTTTTACCATACTATTGTACATTATCATCACAATAGCAGCAATGATGTTACCTGCCTTAAAGGGACATTCAGCAGAACACTGTGACCATGCAATATCATGTTGCCAACAGTGTGAAGAACCAGTTATGCAGTGCTTTCAGTTAACAAATCATCAATAGGGATTTCCTGCACCAGAGCCATTAGATCTCATCCTGTAAATTTCTGGTTATAGAGTTATCTGAAAGCATAAGTTTACCATGACAATTGATCATCTTAAGAACAGCATTCAGCATTACATTCTCACTATTCATAGTAGTCAGCTGTATGCATGTGTTGCCATATCTAGAAACTGTTACAAGACATTGTGAACAGTTACTGTAATGATTTAAACCAGTTCAACAAAATGTTTCAGATAGTTTGTTTAAATAAATAGGTGTTGGTATCTATTTTTCTGTTAGTTCATTTTCAGAAGAAAGTTATTTAACAAACTGAAATTGTAAGATGGCTTAAGTGTCACCTTTTGGTGGCAAAATCTGTAATCAATGTGTATACACACTTAATTCTGAAAACATGAATATGTTATAGTTTGGAAATTATAAGCAACATAATGCACCAAGTAAGTTTATATACACCTTGTAGATGAGTTTCTTTCTAAAACATAATATTTAGATGTTTATCCTTTATAAGTACAGTATAAAGTATATTCCAGTTAAATAAATTCCCCATAGTTGCTACCAAACAAGTACTAAATTCTGTACAAAAGTAATACTTAATAATAACACATTTTCGTGCTTTATGTGATACTTACATAAGATTAGAGGCTAATAATAGTATTTTATGATCCCCCAACCTAAGATCAACTAACAGTTTTTATTTTCCATTAAATATTTCACTTCTTTATTTAGACAGTAAGAAAAAAAAGAAAATCCTAACAACATTAAATGTAAAATCCATAAATTAACACACTAAGAATTAAACTGGATTCAACTTCATTGAAAAAAACACTGGTACTTATCTCACCTCATTAATTAAGCTGTTTGGAAAAGTCTGTTCCTCAGACACGTGACAATCATCAGGGGACACTGATATCATAGTTGACACAGGACGTGGGGTTTGAGCAGCATGGTGATTTCCTAGAGAATCAAGTTCATCTGAATAAACATACAGTAGTTAAATAATGAAGTTTAATTAGATATTGCCAAGAATTACATGGAAACTAATTACTTCTAATCTTCCCTTCTAGATCAGTGCACAACAAGTACAAAACACACACAAATATTTTCCACTTTCAATTTTATAGAAACAGCACAAGTTCTCCATTAGTAAAGGTAAAGTGTACTTGAATATTTTCAATAACTAGTTTCTACTTTTGTTAGGGAATTAAAACTAAATGAAAGTCCTCAAAATACCTACTTACAGATATAGAGACACTGTTTCTCACTCTATTTAACCAGTTATTATATATCATGCTGCATAAAAGTGGATTAAAAATCTTATGTTTAGATAAACACTAATTATTTTCTGTGCATTTAGTGTTACATAATCATTAAGGTTATCCTTGATAAAATTAAATTTTATTATTGTTGCACGTGAAGAGTAACACTATAGTAGCAGTTTTCTATAAATGGTTGTTGAATATATCTCGATCAGCAACTCATAAAACATGAATTCATCTTCAGTTATGGGCTTGAAGTGATAAATAAAAAAATTATTAATAGTCAATTCATAAAAACGTAATCCATTTCCACTGAATAATGAGCTATGATAATGAGTTTTACTGTCATGAATAAAATCACTAAGTGAGAAAGAATTAAATATGTTAATTGTTTCAGCTAAACAATCTTTATCAGGATCCCACAAAAGTCATTTGGCCAAAAGGTTGATGCGTAACTGATAGTTCCAAGATACTAACTATGCCCTGCCCGCCTTAGCTAATATTACTTGGCTCAACTACCTTAAGATGAAAATAGCAAAGAAACAGCATAGTGATAAATATGTGTTAAAAATCCCAGACAATATCTTATTTTATTTTCTTTCCAACTCTGCAAAAGTATTAAAAGATCACATGGGAATGGGCTCAATTATTTTATGCTGGTTATATTCCCAACAAAATAAGTGGGGTTAACAATATAATTCAATGCAAGATGATCCAGGTGCAGAGATCAATCATCACATACAACTTAAATATTTGATCTTGCCATGAATTACATGAGTTAGTAAAGCAATTCAAGTACCAGACTAATGTCAACCTCTCTAAATTAAAATAACAGCTGTAAGACAAGGAAGTTAATATTAGTAGCTGGCAGTATCTTAGTTACTGGTACACAAGGTAGTTTTCAGTGCTTCCTAAACTACAATTATTGTTTGGACTTACAGTGAAGAACTCCTTTTTTGTAAAATTTGGTAATAGACACAAATTTCAAAATAATAATAACGATTCTGAAGTTATATGCTTCAAATATTGCATAATATAAATAAAACTATAGTAAAATTAATAATACAATTAATACTAGGCGAGGTTGCTGTAAGATCATGATACTGTAAAGCAACAGGCCTAGCACAAGCTGGAGTCATGTAAATAGTTGTAGGATTAAAGATGATAGTAAATAAAAACTAGAAAGTGAATAACTTTTAACAGTTCTATCAATGTCTGTACAGTCTAATCCTGATGAAGGGCTTAGGTCCACAAGTGTCATTTTTAACATTAAAAGTGTTATTCACTTAAATGTATACTTCTATCTTTCTAGTTTTTACTTTAATACTAGGAAAAGCTGGCTTTAAAGCAGTACCTTCACTTTATAAATCTGGATTTGATTAAGCCTAATTAATTAGGTATAATATAATAAAAGGAAAAATAGTTAGTAATCCCTTATCAGTTGCTTGTTTAAGATAATTTTCTTTCATGTCCAGTATTTTTACCATAGCTATTAAGCCAGATAAAGAACCTTCAGTGAGTTATGCAAGTTCTCACAAACAAAACATGATACATTATCAAAAATTATTATATGTAGATTAAAGAAAAAAATAACCTAATTATCATCCCCAACATGAACAATATGATTCAACTGGATTAAATGAAAGTATCTTGGAACACACAGTTGTTGATATATTTGTCTACGTTCATCCGGTGTATGGCCTTCCACATGCACAAATACACAACAATCTCTTCTCCAACTGCATTTTCTTTTGAAAATGATACAAAATAACCAACAGTTAACTGCTCAGAATATATTTAATCTATTTCACAAGATCCTTATGCATAACTTTTTAACAACTTGATCCAAGAGGAACAAGATGATGGTGCATGTAAATACATTGTAGCCTTGAGCTTTTACAGATAACTTAAAAGCTATTATTTTGGAATCATCAAATATCTTCCTCTGAAAGCAATTTGAACCAATGTTATCATGCTGTAGCTGCATTTGTTATTAATGAATAATTTACACTTAAATATACCAGATGTGAAAATGCATTTTCTTATTTATCATGTCTCTCTCATTCTCTATTTATGTATACATATGTGTGCGTGCATGTGCAAAGGTAAAAAGAAATGCTTTTCCAATAATACAGTTATCTTTATTTATCAGTCTCAAGCAAAGTAATTAAAATCGCAAATGCTAATTCTACCTCAATACTCATATTTTTATAAAGCATAATCTCACCTTTTCAAGTTAGTTAATAAATAAGTCATACAATGTTTAGTTCCCTGTCACTGTGAGGACTGAAATACAAATGGGTGTCACTTTTTTGTCTACTGAAGTAAATGGTTTTAATCTAAGGCCAATAAACTTGATGTTTTTAATCAATAAGGAAGAAGTTTAAAGTTTCCTATGATAATTTCCAGATCTTTTTTATGACTAAAAAAACAAGTATGTTATTGTGTGTTTGGCCAAGCAGTAAATCTAACTGAACACTCACGGTTACATCCTGCAGTGAGATAGACATATTATCCTAGAAATAAATTTTGCAATAATGATTGAGTTCATATTCTCCAAGTTTCCAGTTTACTGTTTGAACCTATAACTGTGATTGGCATATTTATCTAGACATAATTTTAGTGATAATGATTCAGTTCTTAATCACCAAGTTTCCAGTTTATTGTTTAATCCTAGAACTGTCTAGACATAATTTTAGTGCTAATGATTCAATTCTTATTCTCTAAGTTTCCAGCTTATTCTTTGACCCTAGCAAAGTAATAGCCATATTTTCTTGGAATAAAACTTTTTAATAGTGATAATGACTGTGTTCTTATTCCTCAAACTTCATTTATTGTTTTAAGATTCTATTTTCACAAAAGCATCTTTTATACTGATGCTCTTTTTCTCCAAACTTCAAATTGTAGATGCTGAGTATTTATTATTTTGTTACTTTTCTCTACTATCTAATTGTTGATAGCTAATAAAAACTATACTGTTCTCAGTAGTGATTAGAAAATTCTTAGTACATTGGTGAACTACTTTAATGTTTAATTTTTCATTCTGTTTCCTATATTTGCAATTATTATTACACAGGATCATAACAAAGACCTTACCATTCTGTACTGTTGAGGCAACACTAATAGGTCTCTGAGGTAAACTGTCACGTGACTGACTACGCAGGGGGGTTGACTTCCCTTGGTGAAATATATGCTTCACTTTATGGATACTTTCTTGTGCCTGAAGTAAATGTGAAGAACCCATAACTGGATAAATAAATCTTTGGGACTTATTTAAAGTTATAATTTTTTTTTTTTATTAAAACAAGACTTAGATCAAAATTTTCCTTGAATTTTCATTATAAGAGCAGTTTCATTGTTTCATAGCTGACTTGTGAAATAAAAAAATTAGCAGATCAACAACTTTGGCAAACAAATATTCAAAAATCTGTAGTGGTAAAGATGCAGCAAAACAATATGTTTTTCACACGTATAAAGCTCTGAAATGTCTTTAACTCACCACAATGATCCTATGTTTATACAAGAATATGCATCATTTTATTCTTGCGAATTATTCAATTGATAAGCTGTTTACAATATTAAAAAATACAAGTGAATCCCTGGGTCTATAATTTAATTTACTACTTTTCAATATTTTGTGAAACTAATGGCACAATAAAGCCCAAAGATACAGCGTTGAAATTAAAGCAGATGCACAATGCATTTGCAAGATGATTTCCCAAGCAATTCTCAGACTAAAGATGCTATTTCTGCAATGATGAGTAAATATAAGAAGGATGGTATAATGCCAAATATAAGGTGCCACCATTGTGTGATCCATATGTATTTCATCATGTGATAATTTCATTAATATATAATTGATTTTTTTTTTCATTTTAGAAATGTGCCAAGCTTTATTCATCAACATCTGACAAAATAACCTTAAAACACCTGTTTCCAGATTGAACCCCCTGTTCACCACCCTAGGCTCAGTACTAAAAGCTGTTGAGCTGGATTGTGTGACAGATGTTAAAAACATTTTTCCCAAATATAGAGGCTTGCAAATAGTTTAAAGCTGAAACCAAACCTTATTTATTAGTATTTAAACAAAAGGAGAAAAATTAATTTTGGTAAAGAGTGACACTTGCATAGAGAATGCATTCAAGCCATTGTAATCAAACTGTTTTTGTTGTGCAGTACCATAATCCATCTAATGGTATTGGGACTACTACTTCAGGGTAAAAGCATGTCTTTGATAAATTCATATAGTACAGTTTTAAACAAAACTACAGAAACATAAGTTTATTACTGAACTACAAAGTATTCATAACTTACTGCTAATAAAGTATTCATGTTTTATATTTATTTGATTCAAACTAAAATTATTATTTTATTACAAATAAAGCTTTGATGTGAATAACAACAAGCAAAATCAATAATACATTAAAACGAATAAGGAAGGTTTATTCTGACTAGAACTAACACTTTATGCTATTTTTAAAGTTAATCAGCGGTCACCTCTCAAACGCTAAGAATGTACATGTTATGAAATAAAAATAACTCACAGTTGGTAAAGCACTCAGGTTGTGAAATTCTCCAGGTCCCATGTGAGATACATGATTGAAGTTGGTAGGACCAGAAATAATTCTGGACTTTCTATCCACTCTATATGTACATAAAAACAAAACTGCTTATTTGACATCAAAAGATGACTTTTTAAACATGTAAACAAAATGAGGATACAGAAAAAATATTCTCCTTTAATTATAAAAAATAACCATGTCTATACACCACAGATATCAATTCATTACTTTGTAGAAACTACAAAATTCAACAAATTTCTCCAGTATATTAGGCAGAAAATATAGATACAGTTGTTCAATTATTCTGCTCAGGAGTCTTTATTCAAAAGATAATAAAGGCAAAGCTATCCTGTTATAACTTCACTTATAATTATTAACTCTAAAGGATAGCTTTGCCTTTATTATCTGTTATAACTTCACTTATAATTATTAACTCAAAAGATAATAAAGATACAGATGTCTTGTCCTAATTTAACTTAGAATTATTTATTCAAAATATAAGAAAGAAACAATGTCCTGTCCTTATTTCACTTATATAATTATTTATTCAAAACATAATATAAAGTACAATTGTTTTGTTACTATTTGAATGTGAATTATATGTTAAACCTATCTAGTTGGGTTTTGCTACAGGTCAGAGGTTATGTTATCATGTTTGTAGACTTGCATTCAAAATTTTATTGAACTACTATTCTGTGAATGTATGTTAATAAGTCTGGCATCAAATTGTAGATTATAATTCAAATTTTAGTATTATACATATGTTAATTTCTTAATTTAAAGGTAAATATAAAAAAAAATCCTAACTATCGATTTGTGTGTGTGTCACGTGGTATGTTCAATGCAGCTTTGATTCAAATTAGATGTTTATGACATCCAAATACAAAGTCTTTAGTATTTTATGAATCAGAAATTCAATTACTGATATTGGCAAGCTAGAATAAGAACCTCCCATCTGAGATATTATTATATTTAGGGAATCAACCAAGGTGGCCCTTCCCATCTCTTCCATTTTTGGAAATACTTCCTTACGTACACCGACTTCACTCTATGACAAGTATAACCAATCAAAAGCTCAAAATGTTCCCAATGTGGTTTTCTCAGCCTTTGCCTACTGTTCATGCAGGAACACCTTCCTTTTCATGGTAGAATCAAAGCGGAGAGATAAGAGATAATGGAGCTAGAAATATATTTTTTTTAGACCCCAATACAGTTAGTTACTAAGCCTGATAAATTATATTGGAATTCTATGGTACTGATATAGTTAATCATGATTTTTTGTTATTTCAAAATGCATATATAAAACCTAAAAAAATTATCTTGTTTTACATTCTCCACATGTGAAATTTGACAAGGCTTGGCAAATTATGGCAAGCAGCAAGAGAGTACAAACTTCATAAGTAGAAGAGATCATTGTTTTCTATACTTTTGTTTACTGTTCTATGTTTTGAGAAAAATAACTGAAATTTAAAAACTCATTTGTATATACTAATAATATATATATATATACATATTTAATACATTATAACCAAAATGTCTGGTCCAGTAGAACAAAACCAAGACAGGTCACATTGTAAAGGCCAGTTTATGGTATGGTAACATGAGTGCACGTGCACCTTGACATTGCAACTTCTGTAATGTACATCAGACACAGCTGAATAGCCAATAAAATAAAGATAATAAATATATACATATATGTATAAAGTTGTGAGGTTTAAGCTATTTAGACTAAACATTTGTGGTTTTGTGTTATAATCTGTAGTCATCCTAGAATGAAAAAAGCATAATTTGTGTCTCTTTCCTAATTTTTTTTGTATGGTGGTTACAAGGTCAGTCAAATCGACCAAACCCACACAGAGATACAATAGCAAAAATAACACATAAAATATAAAGTTTTTCTATTAAAAAACTGGAGGTTGTAAAAAATTCACATGTGAAATTTGACAGTTTTCTAATGCATAAAAGTATTTTAAATTTAAAATAAAAATTATTTTGCATATTGGGATAGTAAACATTCCAAAAGAAAAAAAAATGCATGAGCAAATCATTACTTAAAAAATCTTAAAACATAAATAAATCAGATATTTTGTGTAGGAATGCTTTGTAATGTATATTGATAATCTGCAAAATTTCATGAAGATACTAAAAGCTATAGCATGAAAACTATAACAAGCACAAAATTGTCACAAGGTCGGTTCCTGGGACTGAGCCCGTAGTGAGAGAGTTAAAAACATAACAAAATTTCAGATTTCATGCCCTTATTTGTCACACTGTAATAAAGATGCAGCTGTCCTGTCCTTAACTCACTTATACTTACTCAAAACAGAATAAATATACACCTGTCCTGTTCTAATTTAACTTAGAAACATTATGTTAAAATGTGATAAAAGTACACTTGTTCAATCCTTATTTCACACAAAATTACTCTTAAACATAACAAATATATAGTTATCCTGAATTATTTATTATTGTACTCCCATAAGGGAACATACATGAAACAATATTCCAGTTTTTAACAAAAGATAAGCTCATTTCAAATTTGAACAGATTATTTTCTCTCAAACATAAATACACTTTGTAAAAACTTAATGATTACTCTTGTCAGAAGATACTAATTCTAAAACTGATATCAGTAACAGATGGTAACTTCCTTCTGAAACATTACCTTGCTTCTTTCTTACTGATTAGTTTCATGTAACTCTAGTCATTATATTTATATCTTTCTTTTTTTTAATCTTATTTTTGTCATTATTAATGCCACAAATATTTCCAAACGTAAAACACATCTAAAAGTACTTATATGTTATAAAACATTGTGATTATTTGAAGGTTTCTCACATGCGATTTGGGTCTCGTGCAGAAAATTTTCTTCTCATTCTTGTCATGCTAATTTTCCCTGACCCTGTCTGCTGACCCTGGACACTAGGATCAGGTACATGTATTAAGTTCTCTTCATCTTGAATATTGTGGAAGTAAAGAACTTGAGGAAGATCAGATGTACACATGCTAACCACTTCTCCTGTCCTGCTTAAAGGCTTACTCTGAAGAGACACAGAATTGAATTTAGTATAATATAGTAAGACGATAATTCACAAGTAAATTGCTTTAAAAATATAGAAAAAATGGTAATGGTATAAATAAGGGTATTATATGAGAAAAATTCTGAAGTAAAAAAAAATCCATACACAACACTCATAAAATGCAGTAGTACACTATTCTACAGCTAAATATTATAATCATTATGAATAATACATAATACTACTACCAAATACTTAATGTAAACATAATAATACACAATACTACACTTAAATACTTGTAACCAATAATGCTGTATAGAACAGAAAAATACATGATACTACCATATGTAGGCAATAATTATACATACAATAAGTGCTAACAAACAATAATCAGACATGACAGTATAATTATACAGGAATAACAATACATGATGCTACAGCTAGATAAATGCAGGTGATATTGGTACTCGGGTCTGAACAAATCGGAGGATGTAAATCATAATGGTACTTCTGTACTATAAATAGGCTCTGATTTACTTTTTCTATTACTTCTAAACATTGTAAAATTTCAAAAATTTTGTTGAGACACACGATTTAAAAAAAACAAAGAATATTTCTTTAATCTTAAAATCTTAATTGTTTTTTTGTTGGTCACAAAGTTCAATTATATATATGTTTCAACTTGATTGATATATATTAACATATTTCTTATGATACTTTTATTTTACTGATTGCAGCTATAAGTTTTAAAAACACTGCAAAATCTAACAAATTTATTGGTGACCTACAACACGACTTGTCACAATGCCATCAGGTGAGGTTACGTAATAATCAATTTATATCTAATAATTATAGTTACTTTTTAATAAATAACAAGTTCTTGTACTTATTTGCATTGTTTCAATATGATACAATAAACAATAACACCCAATAAGTAAAAACTGGAGTCACATTTCAGCCATCAGAATATTTTTTGTTGCCTGCCATACTTTTTGAACCTAACTAGGCTCCCCTGATGTTTTGTCACAGAAGAAAATTTCTATAGCTTTGAAACAAATATAATTTAACACTAAAATATTTTCAGGAATTAAAAAAATGCCTAAAGAAACTATAAAAAACAAATCCCCAGATCTGTGATTTGTTCCCAAGTCTTTTAAACTTCCCATCAGATTCTGCTGTTGTTCTCTGTATTTTCCCTAAAATCCCTTCTCAAATCTCTATATTAAATTAAATTGTTTATAACCTGCTCTAACCAATTATACTTAAACTTTGCCTGCAGCTATTTTGAAAGCTGATCTTCATCGGTAGTTGTTCACATAAAATACTGTCAGATCATAAAAAGGTGTGAACAAGAGGCTGTACTAATAAAATCTGAGAAAGAGAATCACGAGAAACAAAATATTCGCAAGGGATGATAGTTCCTAAAAACACAAATAAAGGCACTTTTTGCAGGTGAGACTACTCAGAGAATTGTAGAAATGTAAATTTGAAATGTTTTTAATTTTTTCTTTGCAAAGTACACTAAATAAATGTTACAAAATGACAAAATACCAATTTTAAAATAAAGCTACAATTACTATTTTTTACTTAAATTGTGAAATTTGATAGTGCACTCAACACCTAAAAGGTGCTCACTGGTACAAATAGGATTAAAGTTACAAGATTACAGTTGAGGGAGGGGGGAGCATAGTTTTTCAACCACATAAAAATAGAACAGACTGATTAACTTCACAAATGATATGTATGTTTTCCTCGAAAACAACTTTAGATTAACCTTGAAAGTGCTGAAGTAAATAAAGAAAACAGTAAAATACCTTTGGGATATTAACAGTTTGTATCCAGTTGCCCAAGGTAACATCAAAAATATCCACATGGGTTTCACTATACATCGACAGGTACTGACCACGGAAACCTGAAAGTTTAGCAGTTTATTATAAGTCATACTAATAGCTATAAATTACGATTTTTTTCTAGCCACAGAAAGTCAACCATCAGAAGAAATACCAAAAGATATAGTTTAACCATTTAGAAAAAATGAGAACAAGGATTTTAGAAAACTGAATTATATAACTAAAAATCTACGCAAGTTGTAGAAATAACAAAATAAGATATAATTACATATCTATATATAGATAGAAAGGGTGAAAGTGTGATTTTACCAGGAATTAATATACTCATGTTTATCTCTTATATTTTAATATTTGCACACTAACTTTTGAGTTCTACAATCTCAGTACCTCACCTCCAAACTGTTGAATGGGCTGTTAATCACTTTTAAACATGTTTTACCAAGAAGCAATTTTACTCTCAGCTTATTATATATATA